CACTAAAAGCCAGAGTGATTGTGCCTAAATCTTAGCCAAAATTTCTGCCTCATCCTATCTTAGTTTTCTTTCCCCTTATGAGATTCATTGAAGTCGATAGTGAAGCCACCACTATAGCTCTAGAGCGATGGTCAATTCTCAGTCATCCACATGTGGAACAGCTATTTTATGAGAACTTACTTGCTGTCGGCTGTGGTGTAGCGTGGACTTACAGAAGACAGACCATTCCATGAAAACTATGATGAGGAAAGCAGGCTTCTACACAATTGAGAGCCGTACACAGAAACTTAGAATGGCGGGGCTCCGGACACTTGGCCAAACCCAGGGACCAGGTAATGAGTGGTGAGCATCGTGTGCCTAAGGGAGAGGAAGCTCGTCTGCTCTTCTAAGAAAGCTTAGTTCTGGGTGATGATCGGCATCCCCTGCATGCTTAGCAGGATGCTGTAAATGCTTGTTGATGAACAGGCATCATTAGTTAATCCATCTGCAGGCTCTAAACACCCACAAGGGATTTGAATTCCGCACTACTGAAGCAGTGGCAGAAGCAGCAGCTGTCACTCAGCACCTGCCACAGGGGGACTGGCCAGATTTCAGAAAGGGTCCTCTGAGGCCAAAAACTGTAAGGAGGAGAGATTCCAGGGGAATCAGGGTGACAGCTGGGGTTGGAGGGGAAGGTGCAAAGAGGAGCTCAAGGAGGAAAAAAGGGAGGATGTGTGAAAAGCAAGTAACACTCCATGAAAATAGGGAGAAAGAGGAGAAATGGCAGGATGAAGCGGCAATCACTCAGGGAGGTTCTGGCAGGAAATCTTAAACTGCCTTTCCCAAGGACAACTTCCTGGCCACCAGAGGGCTCCTCTATTCCAAAAATATTATGGAAAAGTGACAAATGTCTCCAATATTTTCCACTCCAAGCATACACCTGTGAAATTTGTAATTTCTGTTTATGTGTACAAAAAATCGTCTTTGAGAGTTGGAGATTCTGGTTTGGATACTGTGTCCCTGAGTCAATGTGGAAAGAAATCATCAACGTCTGCTGTTTCTCTAGCTGCAAAAATGGAGAGGCGGCCCATATCTTAGACAAAGTCTAAGTCAGAATCAGGTGGAGGGGGAGCAGAGGGAGAAAAGGGCCTTAGCAAGTCAGACTTGAGATTGCAGAGATACAGATCACCTCTTCGCAATGTTCATATTTAGTTAAGGATGAAAAAGCCTCTATCTTGGGTGTTGTGTACCATCCTTGCCCTGGTGGAACTCATATATCAAAGAAAAAAAAAGCACATGTGTTTGGTAAAAGGCTCAGGTTAATGGGCCAGTTCTGTCAATTTCTAACTATATGACCTTGGCCTAAACACCTGACCTTATAAACTATGGTTTTCTCCTCTATACAATGGAAAGTGTTCTTATCTCAGAGGCTGGACACAGAATTGAATTGAGATAATGCCTTTGAAGAGAGTTGGCAGCCCAGCCAGTGTGGCTCAGAGGTTGAGAATTGACCTGTGATCCAGGAGATCACAGTTAGATTCCCAGTTGGGGAACATGCCCGGGTTGCGGGTTTGATCCTCAGCAGGGGGTTTGCAGGAGACAGCCAATCAATGACTCTCACATCATTGATGTTTCTCTCTCCCTCTCCCTTCCTCTCTCTGAAATCAATAAAAATATATTATTTAAAAAAAGAGTTGGCAGACAGTAAAAGCTCATATCCACTTACACAAGTCTGCCCTACACGAGACTGACATCACCAAGAATACCAGCACAGTTGCGAAACTGGCACAAATCAAGCATGCTCTGTCTGAGGAAGAGAGGGTTTAGAATGGCATATATGCCTCCAAATATTTGAAGGACTATCACATGGAAGAGAGAGTAGAACTTCTGTCACCTCAAGGAATAGAAATAGGACATGTATTGGGAAATCAGATCAAGCTTGCTAGAGAATATGAATTACCTAATGTAAAAACGGAGTGAGCGGTCCATGTAAAATAGCAGGTTAGCTCATATCTGGGGGGTGTCCAAGGAGAAAGTGGGTGAGCAATGTAAAGGAAGTTGTAGTACAGATTCCCACATCAGGTGGGAAGGGCTGGATTATGTGGCCCACAGGAGCCTTTCCAACTCAGGGAATACTATGATTCTTTGTTCCACGCAAAGGGGAAAAAAGGGAAAGCATTGTTATGTCAGGCTGGTCAAAAGGATGGTCTGTTTTCCAACTTGGCGGTTGCGAACATGTACACTTCCCCCATGTTATATGCTCCCTGTGCAGCTGGCCAGCACTGACCTTATCCCTGGTCATAGTGTGGCTGGTTCCCAAGCCTTGGATAGTGACTTCATGCCAAGAGTAGTGTCATTCACATCAAAGATGGTTGATATAGATCCACTCCAGTATTTGTGGAATGACTGCTGTTTATGACAGCAGTGGGTGTCCAACAGAAGGGAGGGATGGAGGGCAGAGCTGGGAATAAGAAATGAAGAAGTGCTGAAGAAAGGGGTATAGGGTGGGTACGTGGGGCACTGAGTTGGCTTATAGTTCAAGCCTCTTTAGATCAAGCACTGAGTAATTGGGGTGCTTTTCTTCCCTCTCTTCCCCTGACAGAGAACAACCCTTTTTCTCACAGCCAAGGAACTCTGTCAAGAGGCAGGAGTCTGGAGATACGACTTTTGGAAACAGTTCTTCTATATGAGTCCCACTGCAAAACTAAATTTCATTTAGATCTTCTTTCTAAAGGGGTTAAGTGGGTTTTCATGGAGTTTCTAAGATAGAATGAGACGAAAGAGAAAGGTATTCCTAGCTCATGTGGAAGAGGGTTTGAAGGCAATCGGGGGAAGCAGTGTATCTCAGGGATTGAAGCATGGGGTTACAATCGAGAGAAACTTGGTTCTTAATCACAACCTGACCAATAACTAGATGTGAAGATTTCAAACAGTATTCAAGTCTCACTTTCTTTATCTATAAAGGAGAGATAATAATATCTCTTGGAATTTTACTGAAAATATAAAGTGCCCAGTATAGGACTTGGCACACAGTGGCTGGTGTTCAGATCATGATAGGTTGCTCTTTCTATTTATTATGGATCTGGTATCAGTCAAGAAGAAGGGACAAAGGAATTGGAAAAACCCCAGCTCAGATAGGAAGGATATACAAATTTAGAGAGTCTGAAGAGGGGTGTGGGTATGTTTGCCCTGAAGGTGTAACCAAGAGGCTGAATCTGGAGTTATGGAAATGAACTGGTATCTACACCACTGCATATGGTTTGGTTTGGGTAAGGAGAGGAGGACATGGGTGTGCACAATATGTAGGGCAGTGTCGGTTACCTTAAAAAGAAATAGATTGGATGATGTTGTATTATATTAAGGGAACAACATTCTCCCTGTGGCTACACTCTAGAAAGTAAATGGGCCGCTGTTCCATGTAAGGCTGCCTGTGGCAGGGCAATCATGGGCAAACTCTTCATGAACCAGTCTTGAAGTAATGGGTCTGTCGTAGGGCAGATGGTAGCCAGTAGCTCTGATGCCAGCAGAAGGGGAGATGCGCATCAGTTGGGAAGTACATTATCCCTAAAGGGCTTCGCTATACTCAGGTCTGTTAAGACACTGGTATTACTGACCATGGGATATTATGAAAGTCATCTTAGGTGGTTTAAATATAAGGCCATTGCTCATGTGTGGGGGATGATGTCTCCCACCTTCACTGAACTGATACCTGGATACTTGACATATCATATCAGGTAACTGTACACATCTGCTGGCCCCAAATACAGGTGATAGTAAGTGTACAATATTTCATTGGCAGAACAGAAAAATACCATGATTTGTACAGGGCCATGTTGGTCTGTGGCAGAGAGGGAAAAGAACCAAATTCCAACTCTTAGCCCTGTTAGGCAAAGTGTCCGGCTAATGAACAGGGTACCAAATACTACAATAATCTCCCCTCCCCCTATTACTCTGCAGGGCAAATATAGTCACCTTTCCTCTGTAGACAAGGCCTTGGAAGAGATCAGTTAACTCTCTTCAAAACCTAAGCAATTTCCTTCTCAAGAACTCAAAGTAGGAGGGAATGCAAGTTACCTGTTCAGTTTGAAACAACATCCAGTCTCTCCTCCCCAACTCCCCACTCTCCACCCACCAGCCCACCAGCCCTGATGCAGCCTGAAGGGTCTGTAAATACAATGAATTTCAGATTTATTAAACCAGCACCCGCAGTAACAAGTAAGTACATTTTATACCATGACCCAGAACACACACACAAATACATATATTTCATGAAACAATACTTACTGCACGCATGGACTTTGATAGTTTCTATTCCATTGTATACTCATCCATTCAATGTTGTTAATGACCTGAATTTCACTGTATAATCTGAAGCTTAAACAATGTCCTTCACCACTGATCTCTCCTACCCACTTAAAAGTCTGCAATTGCTCTCCATTTCCTGGCAAATAAAGTCGAATTCCTTAACAAGACAGATAAGACCATTTATAATGGTCTTTATCTTCCATCTTCACCCAGGCACCCTTTGCCCCCCAAACCCCAGGCACCTGACCCTCCTAGGAGACCCAAGCCCACTATGCACTCTCCCATCAATCTGCATTATTCATGCCGTATCCTCAGCCTAGACACACTTCCACTGCAAGAAAAATTTCTCTCCATCCTTAAGAAGTTTCCCAGGTATCACCTCCTCTGAAGACTACGCTGGCATGCCCAAGCAGAACCAAATTCTCCACTAGGCTCCCACAGTCTTTAGGAATTCTCTTTTTGCATAGCATATATGATCATCACATCCTCCTTATCATAGCTTAGATGTCCTCTATTTTTGAATTGATATAAATAATTTGAAAACAAAAACCAAACTTGTGACTTTTCCTTGCCTTTATGATTGGCCATGGCCTTCTTCAACCTATCTCTACCCCCACCCCACCCCTCTATCTCCTTAAAGCTCAGAACCCCAAGGAGAATGGGCAGATCAGATTAAGAAAAAGGGGCACAGTCAAAATTAGTGAGGGCAAATCAACCTGGTTCTAGTTTCTCTTCCTCCAGACTGGCAGTTCTGTTTCAAGGGGATGCAAGCTTGGCAGAGGCACAACACAATTCGCCTGAATCACAGGAGGCTGAAAAATGCAAGGTGAGGTGGAGAAATCAAGGCAGAGTGACAATTTGAGGCTGGCTCATTTTGCAAAACCAGGAGCTGACAATAGGAACAGAATAAAAAAAACAATACTACTTCACAGGCCACAGGGAAACCCTGTTGCCAAACAAATGCCCTGCTGCAGTCTCAGACTGTAGGCAGTGGATGACCTGATTTACAACCAGTCACAGAGCTTAATGAACTCCCAGGTCACCTTTATCCACACAAAAATAACAACAAAAAGACCCCCAGGGCTCTGTAGTTTTCAAAGCAATTGGGGACACATTATTGCATTTAATTATGGAGTGTCAGAGCTGGAGGGGACTTTAAGAGGTCAATTAATCTAATCCCTCATCCTGCAGCAAATGAAAAGGAGGCTGTGAACAGGCGAGTGACTTGCCCAGGGTCATACTCCTGAGTTAGCAACAGAGTGCAGTGTTCTTTTTACAAACCATGCTTTTCCCACACAAAAGCTTCTAGTGCTTCCATGTTCTCCTTGAGTCAGACTGGATTTCAAAGCCTCTCAAATGAAGCAGTGTGGTGCCTACCTTATCTTTAAAAGATTCCCAGGCAGAGACTCTGCAGCCTCTCTCTGTCAACCCTTCCTATAATTTGCTGCCACATGAGCTAATCTTATCCCTATTACCAAGAGTGCCTAAGCCATTAACTCATCATTAACAGGTGCCAAATTGCCTCTTCTTTTGCACAAGATGTTCATTTAAAATCAAATTGCACATAAATCCCTCCAGTCTCTGCTCATTTCCCTCAGCCGCTGGCCTATTTTGGTCTAATTTGCTCCCAATCCCGTCTGCTCGAGTCTCCGAGATGACATGTGGGGAGAGAAAGCTGGGCGGAGCAGGGGAGCACCTACGGAGCTGTGCTGCGGCAGCTGGGGACGAGGGGCCACTGGGATGGCCTGCTGGAACTGAACTCATAGAACTGGACGGTCTCTTAAGGACTCTTCTAGAACAACGCCCTCATCTGACACATGTGGAAGCTGAGGCTGGGAGTGCGAAGGAACTTGCTCCAGCAATGAAGGAAACCAAGCTACAACACCCCAAGTTTCCACACTCCCACACTTCTACCATCTGCCTTTGTTTGACTTTGCCAATGAGGAAACTGAAGCTTAAAGACAATTCTCTAAGATTATACAGCTACAAGGGCTGGATCCAAGGCTGGAATCACAGCGGCAGAGAGGCAGCGAAGGGAAGAAGGGGAAGCAACCCACCGAGCATTTCCCGAGTCAAGGCAGGGATGCCGCACACCTCCAGGGGGCACTATTCCTCCTGCGTGCTGTGCGCCCCCTGGCACTTGTGTGGCCCGCTGAAGATGGGGATGGGGACACAGGGAAGAAAGGGCAGCTGCCCTGACCCTCCTGAAACCAGCTCCGAGGGGCCTGCCACCTCCGGGGCGCCCGCCCCAGAGTTGAGGTGCCTGGCCCCCAAGCACTGCCCGCGGCCCCTTCTCTGGGGAGCCAGGGACAAGGTCCGAATGCCTTCCCCCATTCAGTGGGATAATCCCTTTTGAATTGTTTAAAAAAAAAAAAAGAAAAAGAAAAAAAGAGCTGCAGCCAGCGAACCCTGCCTGACAACACCGAGGAATTTTTCCCAGGGATCGGCCGAAAGCTGACTCACATTTAAAGACTTGCCCAAAGTGGTCATGCCCCTCTGAGCAAATACCACAGGCATGTAAAACCTCGCTCCCCACGGCCTCCCGGCGGCGTGGACTCCCGGGCGGCGGCCGGCCCGGCCCCTGATTGGGCGAGCGCAGCGCCGCTGAGCCGGGGCGCAGCCAAT